CTATCTATCTATCTATCTATCTATCTATCTATCTATCTATCTATCTAAATAAATAAATAAATAAATAAATAAATAAATGATAGCTAAAAGGGTCATAAAATAAGTTCATTGTGAATGAATAGTACAGCATCAAACTTGATTAGGAAACATATATTTGGTACAGAGAAAGGAGGACTTATTTATCTCTAACTTCACATGCTATAGAAGTTAGCAGATAATTTGGCTGTGGTTTTTCATATTCAACTTTGTCTGAAACAAGGTCTTTAGTTTGCTCCTGGGTTCTTCTAACCCTGCCTCACATTTCGCAGCAGTAAGGTTGCAATGAAGACAAGCATTATATTTGAATTCAACTTTTAATGCTTTACTCACTGACACATATCTCAAGCCCCTTAATGTGTTTTTTTCTTTTTTGATATGTGGTCAGTGTCATGTATATGTAGCACATCTCCTTTTCCAAGTGTCCAGTTCCCATATGTAACCAGTGGGTACTTTTACTGCCAGTAGTAGAGGGCACAATGCTACTCCCTATATCCATAGCCTTGTTAACTGCTCCAAGACACCTAATGAGAATATTGTAACCCACCATCCCATCAGAATGTTTGTATTCTTATTTAGTGTACCATTTTACAAAGTACTCAGGAAGATCTGAGATAAATATCTATGGAAAACTTACTCTTCCTTCAGTGAACATTGATGGCAGCAGCAGAGTTGTGAGAAATAACATTGCTGGTAAAGAATTCATTGCGGAAACTAAGCAAAGAGTCCTGGTTTAATTAAGCACTGCATGGGACACAGAGGTAAACAATACATATTTGACGGAATATATGGCAAAGCAACTGAAAAATTTACTAACAGAGTAAGGGAAGAGTAGAGATGTGGAATCGCTGCAGTTTCATTGTGGCCACTTTGCTTATAATTGGTGGAATCCATGAGTTAAAGGACCTGACTGATCTCCCTGATGTGTACCTGCAAAGGCTCAAAATTTTCTAGGGTCTTTCTGCACAGGGCTATCTTCCCATCTTCAGAAAGGAAGTATGGAATAACGATTCAGGTTCTATTTTTTAAATTAATTTATTTTTTATTGATTACAGTTTTTTACTTTATATCCCAGCTATAGCTCCCTTCCTCATCCCCTCCTATTCCCACTCCCCAGCCCTCATCTCCTCTCAAGCCCCTTCCCAAGTCCACTGTAGGGGAGGTCTTCTTCCTCTTCCATCTGACCCTACCCTATCAGTTCTCATCAGGACTGGCTACATTGTCTTCCTCTGTGGACTGGCAAGGGTACTCCCCCCTCATGAGGAAGTAATCAAAGAGCCAGCCACTGAGTTCATGTCAGAGACCTCCCCTTTCCCCCTTACTAGTGAGCCCATTTGGAGACTGAGCTGTCATGGGTTACATCTGCACAAAGGTTCCAGGCTATCTCCATGGTCCTTGGTTGCAGTATTAGTCTCAGAAAAGATTCCTGTTTTCAGATGTTTTGGTTCTGTTGCTCTCTTTGTGGAACTCCTGTCTCTTCAAAAACTCAAGTAAGAACACATGCTGGAGAGGAAGTGGAGAAAGGGAAATAATATTCCATTGCTGGTGGGAATGTAAATATGTACAACGACTTGGAAATCAATCTGGTGCTTTCTCAGAAAATTAGGAATAGTGCTACCTCAAGATCCAAATATATATATATATATATATATATATATATATATATATATATATATA